ACGGGCTGTACAAGATGAACCGCCTGTACATCACTCCGGACGGGTTTTTCTTCCGAGTCCACATATTAGCCCTAGACTCCTCCAGCTGCAATAAGCCATGTCCAGAATTTAAACCTGGTATTGAAACTGATCTCACTACTTTATATACGGACTTTATGCCACCACTTGTAACTTGGATGCCAGAGCCCGGTCTGTTTGTTACCCCAGTACCGTTTTTTTGAGGAGGAGGAGTCTAAAATGAATAGAATTTAGACGACAGGTATTATTTCCGCCACTCCGATTTACGCTCCATCAGCCTCCCGGTGCCTCTGGCTAAAGGTGGGAACAGCATGGATTGACACAAAGCGGGCCCTCAGATATTTGTTGATTAAGTGGAGTGAGCGACGAAACAAGGTTGCTAGAGGGACACAGAAGAGGCTTTTAGAAAAAGTTTAGCATGGCCTTTTTTTGGAGGGGGGTAAATACCCACTCCCGCATCTTTCTAGAGGTGTGCTCTGGAAAATCCTCCTGATACACTGTGATTAGGACCTTTGTTCTGTGATGTTGGCTGGTTACAGGTTGATTATCTGGTTATCTTCTGACGGCCACTAGACTGTTTCCCCCTGTTGTTTGAGGGTGCAATGTCTGAGATTTAACATGTGCAGCAAGATAATAGATTCAAGCTTAGGCATTCCTTGCCGGCCTTGCATTTTCTTACTGTTTCTTGGCATTTAAGAGACACTACGAATTTACATCTTGGTTACTTTTTTTCAGGCAGCAGGTATATTGTGATGGGTCACATCTACCACAAGAGACGGCAGCTCCCTACATCTCTGCTCCAGGTCCTGCGGGGACGGCTCCGACCAGGAGATGGACTGCTCAGGAGCCCCAGTAGCTATGTGAAGAGATTTAACCGAAAAAGGGATGGGCAAGTTCAAAGTGCAATTCACACCCAGTGCGTTTGAAATGTACTACCCTTGCACTGCTGGATTGTAAGAGACTTGTATTCAGCAACGAGACAGGACAGGTCTGTCTTCACGGGATGGGGTCTTCCTGTGGAGTAGGGCACACAGCTCCTTCTGGAACTGATTGTGTAGTTCCAACTCTAATGTTGAAGTTGCCACTTATTTGCAAAATGCCTCTTCAGTGGTATGCTTCTGAGCTCCCTGGCAAAGTTATTCACACGGCTCAGGTAACTGACCTGTCCAGTTAGCAGATCACTGCTTCATGGGGTTTATTTTTAATTATTTTAATTTAAATACATTCTTCAGTAGAAATAGTTCACACACACACACAAATTTCCTTGATTTTAAATATACAACTCTGAATAGGTTATATCACATATCAAACCAAGTTTCATACTAAAACCATCACATTTTAAATTCTGTACAGAACAGTGCACTAGTCAAAAGACATTGTATGAAATGTCATTTAGATCAAACACTAGGGTCAGAACTCAAGACAAGTATTACAGTTTTACACTTAAAAGAGTACTAACGGGCTTAATTCGAGCAAAATATTATTCGAACAAGTGTTTCCTGATGTACCAAAATGTAAGAAATAGTTTATTTTTTGCCTCCCTGCTCCTAAAAACATATGTTTTGTGCCAAACTGGCAACTATCCCAATGCTAAACATATTCTGGGTGTATCTGATGTCATTTTTCTGTTAAGACCAAGTATCGTGTTTGTGTTCGTGAAGTAGTAAATCTTGCCTTGAAATCAGATCTTGGATGCACCTGGTTTTTTTAGCCTCACGGAGCCCTAAAGGTTTGGGAAAAAGCCTTTCTCAAACTTACTCCAAAAACCCTGGAACCAATATTCAATGACAGCTTGCAAGTATGTGAATTTTAAACATGTTTTCAGTTGCTTTGGGAAAGGTTTAATCATTAGCTGAATTTAATACTGATTTTATACTTGAATCCACAAAGACATTAACAGTTTTTTTAGAGGACCAAGCTGTGTTATCAGTTAATTTGAAACACGTGAATAGAGACAGATCCTCCACAGCTGAAGATTACTGCCTAAGGAAAGATAAACAGAGCTGTACCAAAGAGGAAAAAAAAACCCCAGCCTATTCTGGTCTCAGAGGAGAGGCACTCAGGGAGCTCAATATGTGTCTTTAGGTAGTCTTTGGCCATACAGAACAGAAGCACACTACACCTAAAGGATGTTGAGGACACGACAGTCAAGCATCCACAAGGAAGCTAGTAGCAGTAACATTAAGACATGACATCTGATTGTGATGGGCGATACTCTCATTTGTCCCAAACAGGGGGCAAAGAGAAAATAACATTTGAGAGCTTCTGACTGTTCTGTGGTAAAGCATTACTGAGGGATTTTTAGAGAGTTTTCCAAAAATGAGTCTTGCCCAAACTTACTAAAAATCATGCTAGAATTGCTTCTTGGGAATGAATCAGCTGCATTCATTATAACACGAACTATTGGCAGGAGAGTAAGCAGAGATTGAAGAGCTTCTGGCTTTTTTTTTTTTTTTTTAGGATAAACATTAACTGAGGTAATAAGTAGCACCAGGCACAAAAACCAAAGCCGAATTTTTAAATGTGAAAAGACTAAGTGGTGATCTTGAATAACATGGTGAAGAAAACTGCAAAATGGCCAGATAAACAATTGGTTGGATGGTCGCCAAGTTAGAACGTGAAGGGAAGAGTTAAATTGCTTTTCCGTAAGCCCGAGGGTGAGGGTTTGGTGAGACCACTTTGACGATGCTCCCTTTCTGAGGAGCTGCAGAATCACACGCAGGGACAGAATCCTGTGATGGGCCAGAGAGCTGGAGGCTGTACGTGAGTGTGTTCACACGGGCAGACACAAGCAGGCCAGCTTTTCAGAAGCTGCCCCATCAGAGTTACAGCCATCATTCAAGACCAGGTCGAAAGGAGAGACAGGTGAAGCTCAAAAGAGGCAGAACAGGGGTGGGCGAGGGGGTGTGTGCACAGGAGGCAGCAATAATCCCGGGTTAGGCAAAAAAGGTTAAGAAGAATCTCATCTTCAATGTTCAGTCATTACCTTGGATACAATCTTTAATTTTATGGAAAATTTTAAGTAGCCAATTCATCGTAGTTCCTATTCCTTTTGTCCTACTGAAAGATTTCTTTTTTAGCACATGGATTTGTGCTCCAAAGACTATCAAAGGCTGTATGCTCGTGTACTAGTCCCTCATCAGTAAAATACTCCACTGCCTTCAAGAGGAACTCAGCAGCATCCCTCCTTTGAATTAAGCTGTTAGAACTCAAGAAAAAAGTACTTGTCTTGCTTTTAGGTCTATACAAAATATATACCTTTATTTGGTACTAACTTTTAAGTTTTTAAAGATAACGCTTGGCACTGTTTATATTTCCCTTCAATCTTTTTTTTTTTTTTAAGATTTTATTTATTTGACAGAGAGAGACACAGCGAGAGAGGGAACACAAGGAGGGGGAGTGGGAGAGGGAGAAGCAGGCTTCCCGTGGAGCAGGGAGCCCGATGCGGGGCTCGATCCCAGGACCCTGGGATCATGACCTGAGCCGAAGGCAGACACTTAACCAGCTGAGCCACCCAGACGACCATCCCTTCAATCATTTTTAAGGTTGATCAAAAACACGTATATGTAAACACCTAAAAACTGACCGAGCAACTGCCACCCAATTTCAGGTCCAGAACCTTATCATTTAAAGCTTCTCTTTAGTTGAATTTGGTCTAAATTGGACCAACTGGGGGTGTGATCTTATAAGAAATGTCTTTTTCCATAGCTTACTCAAAGTATCCAGAAGTAACCTCAGAATATTTCAGGTTAGTAAAAATACTTCTCAGCTGGCTCTTTACCCCCAAGCACTCACAAGACACTGCTCTGTCCATGAGACAGCACCATTCTTTCGGAATGAGAAACTGGAGGCTTCCAAGGAACAGCCTCAAATCACAAAGAGTGGGAGCCAGGATAACTGCGCAGCTCTGTCTAGTTCAGCCCGTCCTCCGTCCGTGCGCATTTTGTTTTGTTTTATTTTAAGATTTTATTTATTTATTTGAGAGAGAGAAAGAGAGCACGAGAGGGGGGAGGATCAGAGGGAGAAGCAGACTCCCCGCTGAGCAGGGAGCCCGATGTGGGACTCGATCCCGGGACTCCAGGATCATGACCCGAGCCAAAGGCAGTCGCTTAACCAACTGAGCCACCCAGGCGCCCCCGTCCATGCGCATTTTAAAAAAAAAAGTCACCACCAGGCTGGCTCTCTAATCTCAGAAAAGCACAACAGATGAATACCAATAGGGAAAGAACCTCAATTTACAGATTCTGGGAAGGTAGATTATAAACAACAGCAAATCTCAGGGTCTCTAAATAACACTCCAGGCCATTTGAAATATAAAGAGACAATTGTTTTACTTTGGAAAAGATCTCTAAAAGTTCACAATTTTTTTTTTTTAACCTATTGCAGGACATTAACTAAAATACAGATCCTGCAGACTCTGGATGGGAGAAAAAATCCTTACCAGTATTATGAAAACACTTATTATAAAAGGTTTTCAAGGATTGTGAACTTCACAGACGAAATATAACAAGCACCAATAATACTTTTAGTCAAGGAAATCTGATGCAAAGTACATGTATTTACAAGTCTAAACACTGGATAGAAAAATCCTAACCGCATATCACAAATGTGCATTCTACTACTTGGATTATTCAAAGTAAAATAGCTGTGATATGTATATCTTATTGACTAGCAGGAGCTTGTCAAAGAATACTCATTGAAAAGCAGCTTTTGAAACTCATTATGTGTTATAAGAATGTTTCCCCAAAATTACTTTTGAAATAAGACTAAAGCTCTGTAGTTGATAAAACTATAAAATGTCTATACGGTGACAGAAATTGCAAAAGGCTTTATACTATTAAATACACATATGAAATTAATTTCTTCCTGGGCTGAGGATTCCCATAAAATTTACCTTTTTTGGTACAATTTGGCAATGCCAATGGCTACAGAAAATATATCAACCAACCAAACCACTGTTTCATTAGAAACTGCACCAAATCCAATGTCAAAAACATTACTTTATTTTTCTAGGATGAAATGTCCTATTACGTACAAAAAGAATTGCTGTTTAGAATTTGCCACAATCTGTTAAAAACATAGCAATCTATTGCCTACAGGTAGGAAAGTTCTTGCCGCAACAAGTTTTAAATGATTAAGCCCATATATATCTATCTCTCTCTCTATATATATGAATAAATAGTACAGAAATACTGTGACATGACGAGATGCAGAATGATTTTATAATTCATTAAAATGTAGGATTCTTGCATCAGCACAGTGCATACAATAGGTAACATTTTTTTTTAAAGTAAAAGGACAAAATAACCTGTATTTGACTATTTCCATGTTAGTATTTTAAGCAAAACTTTGTTTCCATGTTTTCATATTGAGCAATTAGTCTCTTTAAGTTTGTAAGCACAGGTTTGTAAGTGACATTTTTAGGTACAGAAAGGAATGGACTTCATGAGCTAAAACTAACCCAGAATAACCTGCACACCTGAGTCTGTGATAAGGAAGAACTGGGAACTGGAGCAACATCTTTCTTTTAAGAAACTAAGGTCCGGGAAAGGTTTTGCATAGCAGGGTGATATTAAACAGAAGGAAACTTCTTAAAAACATGATTTGACAAATTCCAGAAACTGGCAGGACAAAGCTAACATGAATTAGTGCAAAATCTAGTAAAATTTTTGCAAAGCTGCATAAACCAACTATGGCAGATCTCACAGAAGCTGTTATCACAAGGCGGTAAGTTTACAAACAACGTGTAAGTTTAGAACACCGAAAGGAAAAACATGCAAAATACACCTTCTGCTGACTCCATTTTGCCCCTACTGCTTACACTACTTTTTCTTATGTGGGAAAAACCCCCAAACAACTCAGCCAACCAACAAAAAATACAAAATGGATGAAGTAATTTAAAAAATGCCCTTCATAAAACAGAAGCAGCTGTCTGTAACTGATAATTTGCCTGGTATTATATACTGTACAGATGAAGGCAATGTGTATTTTGCCACATTACCCTTTAGTATGATCAATTGATGCAACAGGATTAGCACCCCCTGAAGGTTCTTCTTTGATGTGATGACAGTGGGCTGGGAATTATAAAATGAAGGGCCACTACTGTCCTCAGGAAACCCAGGTACACTTAAATCCTTCAGCCTGTTATTTGCCTTGCAGCCCTCCCTTTCCCCTCAAAGGCTTACAGATAATCATTAGCGCACATTCAAAGACACCATCTGTGGGAGAAAAATGATCTCCATTTATTTTGTTTCATATACATCCATAGTTGAATTTTAATACAAAAAGAAAAAAATTAGAATCTGACAAATGTTTACAAACAAGATACCTTCAAATAGATTTTACTCAGTTTAGCCTGGTGCAGAGTAAATGACAAACTGTACTGTTATATTCAAGGCAACAAAGTCTGTAGTCCAGGACTACTTAGCCCAACCTTTATGCAAGCTTAATTTTTATCTACCATGAACAATAAACTCATTGTTGATTCCCAGTTGTGTGTATGTGTGTGTGTGTGTGTGTGCACATGTGTACATAGCAGCTCCTTTCATAGAAAGAAAAGACATCTAGAGGTCGTCTTGTACTTTTACCTACAGGAATCATGATAAGATACAGAATGGATTACATGTAACCGGGGCTGGATTTTATAAGAAAAAATAATTAGCTGACAAATGAGGGCAGCAATAAAAAAGCGTCTTTTTTGCAACAATAAATAAATACAGTCAAAAGTTTTCTGTGAGACTCTAAACCAGCTTCTTCACTGAAGAGCAGACGTGGCATTTCCATGGAGTTACACTTGACCCCATATTATCTTTTTTTTCTTGCTTTCTTTTTTCTTTTTTTTTTTTCAATAAACAGTTTTCCCGCTTCTGCCACAAGAGTAAAACCATTTGATCTTGACAAGATAATGGTGACGTTGACTTTGCTTTTCCCTTGTCCGTTGGACAAAATTGGCCAAGAATATAATTGGACTGTTATGACCAATAAAAACGAAGTTTAGGTCAAGTCTTGTCAGGATAACCTGACTAAAAACATCTGGCTCCTTAATTTAAAATAGTTCAGACAACCAGATTCTTGCTGTGTTTTATGTTAGGTTAACACGCTGAACTTTAAGAAGCTGTAGACTGCAGTTTGTTGTTATGAGACCTACAGAATACAGAAAAAAGGGAACAATTAAGCACCCTTCATTTTTTAAAACAATGATGCTTTATGTGGACGCCAAGGTCGGCCTGTCGGGGGGCAGCCATGTTCTTTCATTCGCCCTTGGCAAGCAAATATATGAGAACGAGTAAGAAATTTTTAACCTAAAATAGAGATTTTCACTGTACACTGAAACATGATAGTTCACTGGAAAAGGCCATTATTAAAATATATATATATGTATATGTGTATATATATATATATATTCATCTAATAAAGATTATACATTTTTAGCCAGAGGGACAGATAGAAACGTTTACAGAAGCATTACCACTGTGGTAAAGACGTGTGTGTGCGCGCTTATTTACACTGATCTGGGGGAATATGAAGAAAAAATTGTATTAAAAAAGAAATAGCAGTATTAAAAATCACATTTTTCTGTTAAAGTCCAGAAAGTCTCCTTTCTAGTTTCACAGTTTTATTCACAACTTTCGTTAGTAAAACCAAATTACTGTACAGTTACCAGGACTAAGTCAAAGTATGGTCTATTGCAATAGTGTATATAAATACAGTATTCCAGGAGTTTACAATTCTTAAATACATTGTTCAACATGGCTGCTAGAATAAACTGTTTACTACTATACATATATTTTTAACATTAAAAAATTATATTAACTAATGAACTTTTGGGGGCAATTTTGAATTAGGTAATCACGTGGTACAATAAAAGAAAGAGTGACCCCAACATCCAGTTCTGATTCCAGTTAAAAATTCAGACTAAAGATATCAGAATCTGTAAGAAAAGAAAGAACATGGATGGTATAAATGATGAATTATAACAAAGTACAGTAATGAAAATAATGTACAAACAATGCTGGAGATCATAAATTAAAAATGGGGAATATGGCAAAGGAAATACTGGAAACCCATAAATCAATCAAATTTCAATGAATGGCTACATATATGTCTCATTCTGCCTTAACCCTGGAAATCAACAAAAATTCCCTAAAATCTCAGTTCATTTCATTTCATAGAACTGAGCAAACTTCTCAATTTGCTCCTATGTTTCTTAATGAAAATGATGTAAAACTCAAAGAAAATAAAAAGCTACAAGAAATAACTAGGTGGCAGGCTCTCCTAAGCGGGCCCCTCCACTGTGCAGACCCAGCCCCTGGGCCGCCCTCCTCTCCTTTCCCCAATTCCTTTGTTTTGTCACAGGCCCACAGACGCTCTCCCCTCCAGCGGCAGCTGCTACCATCCCCACTCTGGGTTCGGCCTGCGAGCCCGGCAGCAGGGTGGGATTCATATCCCCAGCTTCCACCTCACAGTTACCGCCAAAGGCTAAAGCCTTTCCAATTAAAAAAAAAAGCAATTTTAGAAACTTAATTGAAGGAAGAACTGCATGAGGTGCAAATAAAAAAGCAGGGAGAGACTTAAACTGAGTTGTGGTCCTCTATCCTAATCTTTACCCTACCTGGAGTCCAGGCTCCCTAGGACCATTTACTTTGAACTTCAGTTCTTGGGTAGGTAGATTTCTTATACTGATACTTCTTGTTTTATCAACTTCGTATCGCTTCAATCCTGTTCCGGCAAATGAGAACTAAGCTCACATAACCATTTTCCTGCCTCCCTTCTTGAATCCAAGTTTTACTTCTAATTTTAAATTAAATCTTTCTGTGCTTTGTCTATAGGTTGATTCTAAAAGTTGAAAATCAATGTATTGTTTACATTATTAGGACTACATAAATATTTTTCTCCTTGGGGCACCTACTCCTTGGCTAAGAGGGCATTCTTAACATTCCTATTCAACTCTGGTTTTCATGGAATCTTGAACTGCCTTCCATTTTTTCCTCTTACACTCTTAAGCTAATTATCTAATGTATGAATCATTTCTCCTCCCAGACACCTTCCTCTTGGGAGTGTTCCATTCTCCTGCTCCAGTTTGGACTGCTTGCTGGGTTGGCTTGCTGTACAAATGTCACCCTGGGTCAGAGGAATTCATATTGTTTTCTTGAACCTCTTGTTTTTGGATCCAAGATGTTTGGTTTTCTTGATTTACTTCTTTAATTTGCTAGTGCGCATCTTAAAATAACTTGCTAAGAAAGAGTACATAGGAAGAAGTCCCTTTCCGAGTCCTTCCATGACTGAAGATGTATTTTTCTCCCCCTCACTTGATTGATTGGCTGGACACAGAATTCTAGGCTGAAAATCCTTTTTCTTCAGAATTTTAGATTTATTCCTTCAAAGTCTTCTAGCATTCTATGTTGTTAGAGAAAAGTCTGATACCAGTCTAGTTCTTGTTACTTTATAGGTTGTTTCACCTTCTTTAGAAACTCTGAGAAGAGCTTCTTTTATCCTTGGTATCTGGGAATTTTACAGTGATTATATGCGGGATGGACTTTGTTTCCCTTGTCCAGATGACTTACTATGTTTATCCACTATCCTCATCATTCCATACCCCACTCCAACTCCTTACTCCACAAGAATGGAAGCTCCACAGGGACTCAGTATCTGACACACAGCAGGGTCTCAGTAACCATCTGCTGAATAAATGAACTTTGTTTTCCTTGGGTTTGAAGTCTTGTGCCTCTTCTCAGCAGCTCAGGGAATTTTTTTCCTATTAGTCTTTTTTTTTTTTTTTTTTGGTTTTTTTATTTATTTTTTTTTTCCTATTAGTCTTTTGATAGTTTCTTCTCCTCAGTCTTCTCTCTTCTTCCTTTCTGGAATTTCCATTAGGTGAATACTGGATATGCTATCGTGCATTTTTTCCTTTTGTATTTTTTCATCTACTTGTCTTTTGTTCTTCACAGTGCAAAAGTCCTTGATTTTGACTTTCACTGCTTCTAGTAAGTTTTGATTTTTTAGATTGCTTTTCTAGCCACACTTTCCGATTGTTCTTTGTTCCTAATACCTTGTTAGTCATTTTGTAAATTCAAGATCTTTTTTTTTTTTTAAGTAAACTCTACCCCCAATGTGGGGTTCGACCCCAAGATCAAGAATTGCAAGCTCTACCAACTGAGCCAGCCAGGCGCCCTTAGATGCAATTATCTTCTAAAATTTCTCTTAAGACATGATTTAGAGGCTTTTTTCCTTTTTTTCCCCCGAGTTCTCTTTTGTTCTCCCTGGAGTCTATTCTTCTGCTATACCTTGACCTTTCTCTTTTACACGGAAAGCTTTCCTTACGTATCTGGCCATCCCTGGGGTGTTGCCTCAGATCAGGGTTCCTCAATCTCAACACTATTGACATTTTGGGGTTGGATAATTCTTTGTTGTGGGGGGCTGTCTTGTGCACTCAGGATGTTTAGTACCATCTCTGACCTCTACCTATTAGATGCCAGCACTAATAATACTGTATTAATTCTTATTGACACCGCTCAGTAGGACAAACAAAAATGTCTCCAGGCATTGCGAAATATCCGTGCGGGGGTGGGTGTGGGCAAATTATCCCCACCAAGAGCCACAACTTTAGGGTGACAGGGCTGTGGACCGAACCAATCCTCAGAGGTCAGGGTCTTTACTCTGGGTCCAATTCTCTTTTGTCTACTTGAGTTCTCTGCAGACAGTTTATTCCATTTCTTCAGGGAAAAACCTTGTGTTTTTCCAGTTCTTTGGGCTTTCCACACAGGGCTACAGCCAGGTTAGGAATTTACAGATCTTCAGTTAACTCTTCTCTTGCCTTCTATTATATTTTGGACTCTCCGTGTTGGGAGGCCCTCAGTGGTTCTACTGGTCAGCAAGCTGGTACCTCGCTGAAGAGCCCTCTAGGAGGAGTCTGGGCTACGGTGTTCCCGGCTGTGTCAGCTAATCTTCTTTCATCTGCTTTCTGTATTTCAGAGTCTGTTAAAATCTCATCAGCTAACTTTCACCATATTCTTTTCATGTTCTGAGTTGATTCCTTTATTATTATTTTACTAGGGGCTTTACCATTTGAGTGAACCCTCTTCCACTTTAGGTTTTAGAGCTAATGGGTTAACAGAGAGGAGGTGACACAAATGGGAATGTTGCAGAGATTTTCAAAGTCTCTTTGGTTTTGGTCTAGAGCCTGCCTACCTACCTGCTTTCCTTTCTTCCTTGCCTACACTTTTTGATTCCTGGGCTTGTTCCTTACCTTTAGTTTATGTAAAGTGATTCTAAAACACAGTTCTTGATCTACCTTGCTGCAGAACAAGGGGAGAGACAACACTCTATGGACTATCCTCAGAGGAAAATAACTAAGCCGAGCACTGCTTCTTACACTTTGGTATGCAGAGTTCACTAGACAACAGAGATGCCCAGGTCCCAAACCAGCAAAGATCTACCCAATCTGAGTATCTAGGGAGGATCAAGCATGCAGGTTGGTGGATGGGGGATGGTGAGTAGTGAGTCTCAGGGCTAGAGAGTGGTGGCAGTTATCACAGGAAAGGAGAACAGGCTTTTACTGAAGGAAGAAAGCCATGGGCTTGAGAAGCAGGGACTGAGGTTCAGACACAAAAGCCGAAGGCGCTACATCTGAATTATCAGGCCAAGTTGCTCAATGCTTCTATGTTACTGGAGGTTCATGGGAAAGGTCTGTGGACTTAAAGTCTAGTCTTGCCCACAGAAAAATATCCAGAGAAATAAAACATTTTATGATCTCAAAGATATAGCCAACATAAATTAAGGAGAAAGTACTTAAATCCCTCTTCCTGGTCTTCCCCTTAGTCTACCCTATACAACAGTCATTTTTATGCTTTTGTAAACTCAGTAAGGGGAAGAACTTGGTCTTACTACTACCTTTGTATGTGCCCCGTGCCATTTCTTAAAAAAAATATATATATATATGTGTGTGTGTGTATATAATATATATTTTATTAAGTAAATTCTATGCCCAATATGGAGCTCAAACTCATGACCCCGAGATCAAGAGCTGCATGCTCCACCGACTGAGCCAGTCAGGTGCCCCTGCCCCACAGCATTTAAGACAGCACCTTACATTTCTGTAAGCATCTGATAAGAGCTTTATTTATTTTAAAAAATAACTTTAATTTTGAGCAAATCACAAACTCAACAATTTCTCATTACTGAGTCTGTCTTCTGGTCCTTGGCGGTATGTCACAATGCTAGAGTCTTGATTTTTTTTTTTTTCCTTATTCTTGATTAAGGTTCAAATTTACCATAAACAGCACTGGCTGATTCCCTAGACAAAGCAGTATAGAATGTGAGGAACTGGATCACTTTAAAACGCTGAACACGCATGCTCACCTGCTAGCCTTGAACCCTTTCAATTTCTGTACAAAGAAGGACTCAAGAACTTCTGCACACTGGTAAAAAGGCGAGTCACTCGGATTGTAGTAACGACAGTTATCAAAAATTTTGGTCATATCTGCCACAAATTCTGTCAGCTTTTCATAATATCGTCTTTGAACTCTTTCTTCCATGGTGGCAAGGTCTTAAAAACACAAAATGTAAAACATTTTCAAAGCTTTAAGGCAGATCCAATGTGAATATTGCCCACAGTTCTGACTCACAAGACTATGTATTTCCTGCCCAAACAGTCCTGGAAACAAGTTGATTCACCACTGGAAACTAATAATTCATGAAGAAAATAGGAGCACTTCTCCAATTTTGTTTTTGACTGGGGGAGTCTAAAATATAAATCTTGGCTATTGTTACGAAGGTAGTTTTACTTTCAGTTAACTACAGAGAAGAGCCCTTTATTCAGCTGGGTTGAAATAAAAGCAGCTTCACCAACACCATCTAGACATCTAAGTACAATACATTTTTTACATGCAAACAATTATGTATATGTATTACACGTACAAAGAGGAGGGAATCCAAAATTACAAACAAAAAATCTTTGTGGTTTTGTGATATCTGTGATACCTGTATTAGACCTTAATAACATCATTTTATCTTTATTCATTTTTCTTGTTACCTTATATTGGTGACAAGTGATACTGACCTAACACTTAAGGTGGCAAAGACATAAAGTGTCTACTTAAAGGGAAAAATGTCAGCTGATATGAATAAAAATATTAATATATTAATAGTACAGATAGTATGCAGAAATGACTTAAATAATTCAGGAGGTACACAGGTGAGTGCTTTCAAATACACTGAACTAAATCTCCCTGAAATACCATTAGGTCCTAAGAGACAGTTATGTTTGAAGGAAAATTCCATATACAATTTTACATAAAAACCTGGGAGAGAAAAAGCTGGTGATCTCAAATCAATCTAGGATTGACAAACTCATAGGTAACACGATTCTAAATGAAATCTCAATGATTATTTTAGAATTTGAGAAAATGATTTTTTAAAATTTATTTATTTGAGAGAGAGAGAGAGAGAGAGAGCAAGTTGGGGGAGGGGCAAGAGGAGAGAGACTCTCAAGCAGACTCGGTGCCGAGCAGGGAGCCCGATGCTGGGCTGTCTCACGACCCTGAGATCATGACCTGAGCTGAAAGCAAGAGTCAGATGCTTAACCAACTGAGCCAGCCCAAGGGCCCCGAGTAAATTTTCAAGTCCAAGAATATCTAAGAAACATTTAAAAATAAAAGTAATAGGACAGAACCTAATCAGACTTTAAACAGATCTTATAAAGCTGTGATAATGGAAAGCGTGGCACTGCGCAGGATGACACAGATAGTCATGGAACTGTACTCAAAACAGGAACAGACCTAACTGTATTCGGTATAAGAAATTTATATATTTGAGGATGTCATTTCAAATGAGCAGAAGAAAAAATTCATTAATAAATTGGGTTGAGGCAACTGCCTACATATCTGAAGAAAAAATTCTACCTCACACTAATGCCAAAATAATTCCAGGTGGATTAAAATTTAAGGACAATGAAAACTATAAAATGTACTAAAAGATACAACATTGTGAATGTAATTAATCACTGAACTGTGCATATTAAAGAGTTGTTATATATATGTGTGTTTTTTAAAGATTTATTTATTTATTTGAGAGAGGGAAAGAGAGAGCGTGCAAGCAGGGGGAGGGGCAGAGGGAGAGGAAGGAGGAGGAAGCAGCGACCCGCTGAGCATGGAGCCTGACACGGGGCTCGTTCTCACAACCGAGATCATGACCCAAAATCAAGAACTGGAGGCTTAACCAGCTGAGCCTCCCAGGCACCCGATATATAGATTTTAACACACGCACGCATGCACACATCTTTGACAGTTCCAGTTTATGTAGATAAGGGAAAGAACATGTGCAAACATGCTCCTAGCCCGATGAAATTTCAAGCCAGACTTGGGCACATCTGCTGTGTGTAGCGGGTCCAGTAAAGCTGTACCAGAAAGAGAAAACACTAACACAGCACATCATTCTTGCATTTAAGTTCCAGGTACTTACTGCCTGCTTAATTTTAATAATGTATGTGAACAGTGCTTGGACATTTTGTGATTCCAACTTAAACAGATAGCCGTTAAAAAGAAAATACTAGGGGGGCACCTGAGTGGCACAGTCCGTTAAGTGTATGAATCTTGGTTTTGGCCCAGGTTGTGATCTCGGGGTTGCGGAGTAGAATCCTGCATCAAGCTCTGTGCTTGGTGCTGAGTCTGCTTGAGATGCTCTCTCCCTCTCCCTGTCCCTCCTGCTTGTGTGCGTGCTCTCTCAGATAAATGAATTAAAAAAAAAAAAGTACTAGGAGAACATATAAGTGAGTATTTATAAATCTGGGGAAGGACAAAGGACTAAAGTATGACTCCAGAGGCAGAATTTATAATGATGAATAGATTTAAAACCAAAAACATTAAAAAATGATCATATGCTGGTGCACCTGGCTGGCTCAGTAGGTTAAGTGTTTAACTCTTTTTTTTTTAAAGATTTTTATTTATTTATTTTATTTGAGAGAGAGAATGAGAGAGAAAGCACATGAGATGGGGGAGGGTCAGAGGGAGAAGCAGACTCCCTGCCGAGCAGGGAGCCCGATGTGGGACTTGATCCCGGGACTCCAGGATCATGACCTGAGCCGAAGGCAGTCACTCAACCAACTGAGCCACCCAGGCGCCCTAAGTGTTCAACTCTTGATTTCAGCTCCAGTCATAATCTCAGGGTTATGGAATTGAGCCCCATGTTGGGCTCTCCGCTCAGCATAGAGTCTGCTTGTCCCTCTCCCTCTGCTCCTCCCCCTGCTCGTGCACTATCAAAAAAAAAAAAACATATGCCAAAAAAAAAAAATCAGTAAAAAACTTTGTTTTGAAGTAGGCTCCACACTGATCTCATGACCCTAAGATCAAGACGAGCTGAAATCAAGAGTCCGATGCCCAACCAACTGAGCCACCTAGGTCCTTGGTATATAAAGAGCCCTTAAGGAACAGTGACAAAAATATGAATATCCCAAGAGAAAAATGGGCAAAATACATAAATAGGAAACTCACATAAAATGCAAACAATAAGTACACATCACTAGTGAAGTCATGCAAAGCCAAAGAACCACTTTCTTTATCCAAATTAGCAGGAACTAAAAATAACACATCAACATATTTTCAATGATCACCTCCAAGACAGAGTATGAGAGTGGCAGTACATTTTATACTTTACACTCTGAATCTGTGTAACATCTGTACACCAAACATATTATTTTGAAATCAGTATTTTCAAAGAAAGTATTTCCCCTCAAAAGTATAATACTCAGTGTTTTCAAGAGTAGAGAGGGAAGGATACGTATATACACTATCACTGGAAACTGGTTCAATTTGCAGAAGTGCAATCTGAAAATATTTATCAAAAACCTAAAAAGTATATATATCTTTTGACCTAGAATTTCTAATTCTAGGACTTTCTCCTCAGAAAACGAACAAGTGCAGGCAGATGCTTAAACAAAGACGTTCACAGAAGTGTTGTTTAGAGCACCAATAACTGCACACAAGTGAAAAACCCATTAATTGGGGGTGATTGAATAAATTATCTTAATGGCATACGATTAACAATGATGTAGGTCTATACCACATGTTTTCACGTGGTATGAAAAATGTACTGACAAGTTTATAAAGTATGTTATAAAACATGGTCTATTCATATAACCCTATTTCTGTTCAAGAAAATTTATAAAAGCTGCTGATTTTGCTGGCTCCCTCATTCCCTGAAAAGAAACTACTATTTTCAATTTAGTCTCTATCTTTGCAGACATCTTCTCTGCATTTCTAAATACATTTATGTGCCCTCAGAAAATACAGAATTGTTTGCTGCTTAAAACCTAGGTATTTTTCTGTAACTTTGATTCTTCTTTCAACAGTATGTCTTGGAGAGCTGTATTATCTTTGTGTACATACCTACTACAGAAGGGGATGTTTACACCTCGGTGGTATGAAAAGGAGGGGGGAGGAGGGGGAAGAGGAGGAGACCAGAAAACAATCCAGTTTTTTTTTTTTTTTTAAAGCTTTTATTTATTTATTTGGACAGAGAGAGAGACACAGCGAGAGAGGGAATACAAGCAGGGGGCGTGGGAGAGGGAGAAGCAGGCTTCCCGCCGAGCAGGGAGCCCGATGTGGGGCTCGATCCCAAGACCCCGGGACCATGACCTGAGCCGAAGGCAGACGCTTAACGACTGAGCCACCCAGGCGCCCCAACAATCCAGCTCTTCAAGAAAAGAATTTTGGTTAAATAAGTTAAGGTATATTCAATTCACAGACTACCGAAAGCCCTTAAAGTCATGTTACTGAAGGTTAACAACACAGGAACAGGTTTGTTAAATAGATGATTATATATATTTTTAAGTTTATTAATTTATTTTAGTAATCTCTACACCCAACGTGGGGCTCAAATTCACAACCCCGAGATCAAGAGTTGGATGCTGGGCGCGTGGGTGGCTCAGCCGGTTAAGCGTCTGCCTTCAGCTCAGGTCATGATCCTGGGGTCCTGGGATTGAGCCCCGCATCGGGCTCCCTGCTCGGTGGGAAGCCTGCTTCTCCCTCTCCCACTCCCCTTGCTTGTGTTCCCTCTCTCGCTGTGTCTCTCTCTGTCAAATAAATAAATGAAATCTTAAAGAAAAAAAAAAGTCGCATGCTCCCCTGACTGAGCCAGCCAGGCGCCCCTCAAACAGATCATCATATGGTATCATTTCTCTCACACACACACACACACACACACACACACACACACACACACACACAC